AAAACCACCGAACAACGGGTGCCCTCACAAAAACCACTCCTTTGTTCGCCGCTTTGGCTTACCCTGGGCGAGTAGGAGAGGATGCGTTTCGAACAGGCACAAAAGTCTGCCTTACCTGCGTTGCAACTTTGGGCCAGGGAAATCGATGGATTCAAACTACGGAGCTGCCAAACCGCAGCTGAGCCACAATCAAAACCTGGGTAGATGAGGGTTGGTCAGGGGGAATCCCAGCCACAAATAGCTGCGGCCGCCTTCTTAATTCCTTACATGGTTCTGGGTAGACCATTTTCATACCAGGTTTTGATTATGACTCAGCTTTCGACACCCGCGGACGTTCGAGGCAGCAGCTCAATGGCACGCGACGCCTGGTACTTCTCTTTGCGCATCATCCAAGGCCACGAGTGACATGGATGTGTGAAAATAGGGGGACCCTGGAACTGGTAATGTTAAGTTTGTTTTTTCTTTCATTGAACCCACCTATCGAAAAGTAATCTCAAAAATAGAGAGCACCCCAATTTGGTGGCCGCAGACTTCGCCTTCGACTGTGACCCTTGGTCAGTGAAGCCGCTCTGGCGCTTGCAGGCTCCTGACGCCGTCTTCAAGGCTGACCAGGCGGGCGCGAGCGAGCCACGGGTGGACGACTCAAAGCTCCCGGCTGACAGGCGGAGGGCAGTGCTTTGGAAAGGCGGGAGTAGGAACTTGGCATCAGCAAGATGCATTTGGCGAGTGCCCACTGCGGAACTTGAGCCGCGTGCGCCACGCATTTTTTGCCGTGAACATGTTCCCCGCGAGGTTACAGCCCAAGATGTATTTGCTTATTCAGGAAGGTGACATCTCAGGGTGCACAAGCATCTCATTAAGCTCGCATTCAATGCAACATGAGGAGAGCGAAGTTGACTCAAGTGCACATCGGGCCACTTACCGCCTTGCAAACAAGAAGTTGATCCGATCCCCGACCGGTTCATGACTCATGAAATGGTCCTGGCAAGGCCGAGGTGCGCACTGCGCACCGCTTCGAATCGGTTTTGGTCGGGTTGTTCTATGCCTCACTTGGTCGGTGTCTTTCCATGGGTCGATGCGGTCGATGGGTGATCTGTCGGACTCAGGTGATGCTGCAGTTAGTGCTGACGTATTGTCCGCGGTATGCCAAAAGTCTGAAGAACTCTGCCCGCCAAGCTGGAGCCCTCGACCCCCGAGCCCACGACCCGGACATGAAGCTCCAGTGCAGGCGGGAGCGGCGTTTTCTTGACACATGGCTGTGGGTCAAAACCGTTTTGGGATCCCATTTTTGGGGGTAGGTGCACCACCCATTTGAATCTATTTTAGTGGGGATTGGGATGTGGGGGATTGGGATGTTCACTGGTGGGTACGGGATTTTGACCCATGGCCACATCGAGGCGTTCACTCGAAAGGCTCTAGGTGAGTCAACAAGCGTTTCCGCCACAGAATGCCCAAGATTTCCCTGGACATGAATGCCTTGGGAATTTGCGGGGAACCCTCGAATCAAAGCTTGACTCGCACTTCCAAGCCAACTGCAGGCAGTTGGCTCGCTCCCTTTTGCGTCCGCCAATTCCGACGGCCTGGAGGATTTGTTTCCGGGACGCCTCCTTAGTGGGCGTAGCATGCGTAGCCGAGAGGCAGCATCAAGCTGTCTCAAGTTTCGGTGACCGCCTCAAGTTGGTGTTTTCCTTTCGCCTTCAGAACGCAACACTCATCTCCGGTTTGAATCGGTCTGGAAGGCCTTCTGGTCGTGGAGGCATGCTTTGCCTTGATGAACCGCAGGTGTGTCGCTAGGAGTGTTGCAGGAAACGCCCTCAAACATGAGTTGCGGACAAACATTATGGTGAATTTGATGCCCACGTGCCTTCTCACCAACGATTCTTAGGAGTCTTGCAGCTACCGTTCTCTCAGGCGACTTGATGATGTACCTGTCGGCTGAGCACATACTCGGTTCCGGAGTGAGACCTGTGCCGAGGAGTTACGCTCAGGAGAAGCTGGGCCCCGCATGCCGAGAGGTGTTTCTGATCATGGGCCCCCCGTTTTTTTGGTACTTTAAAGGGACACCAAGTGGAAGCCAAGCATGTTGGGGTACTCTCATGTTCAGAGACATCCAATTCTTTTGGATGAAGCGATCTGCTAAGCTTGCTACGCCAGCCGACGCGCATACGACATTCTGGGACATTCTTGTCATGTGTTTGTTTTGCTCACGGAAGCCTGCTGCAAGCGCCCGGCACATTTCTCAGGATAGTCTAATGCGTTTTTGCTGGTCACGAAGCCGAACTTCACGCGGCCAACAGCATGTTGAACCTGCAGTTAAAAGCCCTGGCCACGCCATCCCAGTTGCCAGCTATGTGCCCGACAATCTCAAGACCAACGTGACCTCCACAAAACACCTTGCGGCGGAAGCTGTTCTGCAGCCACGACTCTTGTAGCTACGGGGAATCTGAGGACCGCAGATGCGCATATTTGTTGCGGCCAAGGCGCCATCATACGGCACACTGCAGGGCTCGAGAGCCTTTGGCTTTGAGCCCTACCATACCTTTCCAACAGAGCATACCTATCATAGCCGCCAAAAGAGTCACGGAACCCAAAACAACACCACCCCTTCTTCTCAGACTGGCGATGAGGGGATTCAGGGGATGCGGAAGGCCATTGGCTTCAAACAACATGCAAGAAATGTGTTGGACCAATGGGGAATCTGAGGAAACACACACACACACATGCATGAGTTGGCGTGAATGTGGAGGCATCCTGTGAAGCAGAAGCAGACAGAACGAAATCAACATCGAAACAGAGGAAAAAGGAGGATCGGCGCAGCTCGCTTGGGTCGTCTTTCCCGAAAGCGGATCCTCATCAGGATTGCCAGCGCCCTACTGTCAGTACTTCACGCCCACGCTCACCATGGTGGCAGCCGACTCCATCACAAAAGGCAAATGGGGCCCTTAGAAACAGGGCGCGCACACACACACACACACACACACACACACACACACACACACACACACACACACACACACACACACACACACACACACACACACACACACACAACACAAACACACACACACACACACACACACACACACACACACACACACACACACACACACACACACACACACACACACACACACACACACACACACACACACACACACACACACACACACACACACACACACAACAAACACACACACACACACACACACACACACACACACACACACACACACACACCCGCGCGCGCGCGCGCGCGCGCGCACGAACACACTACCCACGCACGCACGTACACACGCCTGGCAGGCACGCACTCACGCACGCGCACGCGCACTCGCGCGCCTGGGTTTGCAGATCCGGAGCCTCGTTTGCCTCAACCCAGAGCCCCACAGGGGATGCAGCAAAAGCAAGAAACCGCCGGAACAAAAGCAGGATAGGCCCTGCCACGCTCGAGCATCAGCGGATTGGTTTCTGGCAGATCTGATCCTGGGCAAACCCGCGGTTCAGCTGAGCTGTTCAGCATTTTGGGTGCCAGAGCTTGTCATCCAGTTGGATTGTGTTTGGATCCCGTGTCTCGGGGAGCGCCGAGTCACGGTCTTCGTTCCACTCGCTTCGCAGGAGCTTCTGCAACGACTTGCCATTTCTCCCAGCCAGGCAGCGAATCCCGCTCACGCCGGCGCCTCGGGTCTCGGGTCTCTGAGCGAACGAATCGAAGCGTGGGCTTTGCGTCTCCGTGGAAGTCGCTGGACTTCGGGAGGCACTTGGTTCTTGATACGGGCTTGTCTCAAAATGGCTGTGGCTGTCACAACCAATGGGATCCCATTTTGGGGTAGGTGAATTCACCACCCATTTTAGAACCTATGTTAGTTTGGATTCACTCGGGGTACGGGATTTTGACCCATGGCCAATGAAAAACTCCAGAAGGGATGCAATATGAGCTTGTCTCAAACTGCGACATGGAAATTCGCCGTCGTGGCAAGTGCAACATGCGTCGCAACTGAGGCCGCAAGGTTAAGATCTTCGACCTTGATTGTGCAAGCTGGACTGGGTCGTCTCATGGTGCTGCGCCCAACCCCCCCCCTCCCGATTTCGGGCGATTTAGTTGGGGGTTCTGCCCCCTGTTTTAGAATCAACAGCCTGCGAACGCCTTTATGGCCGTGGGTTACTTGCTGCCAGGGGTGGGAAGACAGCACGAGAAGCTTGCCAATTTTTTGCAAGTACCAGCACTCGCTCTCGAGCCAGGCAGTTAAGGACATTGATATTATCTATATTGTGCATAGGTAATATATTGTACATATGTAATATATTGTGCGTACTGTGGGCGGACGAATTCCTGCACCACCTAAGAAACCCTGGAATGACGATTCCCCTGTAAATACCAACCAAAAATGGCTTCCCGTGATTTCAAATTGGTGCAGGATTCTGTCCATCCACAGTATGCAATATATTACAGTGGATCCAAAACAGTTCTAGCTTGCACCAAAGGACACTCATGTGTGTAGCATCAAATCGAGCCCATTTGTCAGCAAACATTCATGTCAACCGTAATACTAAACACAATGACAACAGCCATAGTCATGATACCGACAATGACAATAATATCACAATCATAGCAATGACAATAGCAACAACAGTAATATTATTATGATACATTAGCAATGATAATAATACCAACCACAGGAACAATGATGATCGTAATACTACAACCATACGCATAATAACAACAATAGTCTAATACTATAACAACAAGGGAATCAATTATTATTGATAATCAAAGGAAGTTTAGAAGGAACTTCCGTGTTACGGCAACTAATTGAAAGCTAGCTCTCTCTGAGACAGATGAAGAGAAGGAATAAGCGCGTGAGAAAATATGTGCGCGTGTGGTGGGAGTATAGAAAGCTGCAAAAAGCATGGCCCCGTGCGTGAATTAGTGTCTCCGGAGAGCCGAAAGCTAGCCTGTTCGCGGCGCCTGGTCGGAGCGCGTTCGGACCACGTTCGGAGCGCGTTCGGAGCGCGTTCGGATCGCGTTCGGACCATGCTCGGAGCGCGGGCCCATTGGCACGGCAACGCGAAGGTTTCGCCAGGTTTGAATTGCGTGGCAGGCACAGCACTTTCGCGAGGTCAGGTTCAGATTTCGTGGCAGGCGCAGCACTTTCGCAAGGTCAAGTTTTCCCAAGGTTTGAATGGCGTGGCAGGCGCAGCACTTTCGAAAGGTCAGGTACAGATTTCGTGGCAGGCGCAGCACTTTCGCAAGGTCAAGTTTTCGCAAGGTTTGAATTGCGTGGCAGGCGCAGCACTTTCACAAGGTCAGGTATGTATTTCGTGGCAGGTGCAGCACTTTCGCAAGGTCAAGTGCTAAATTCGTGGCAGACCTTTCGCAAGGTCAAGTACAGAATTCGTGGCAGGTGCAGCACTTTCGCAAGCTCGAGTACAGGTTTCGTGGCAGGCGCGGCACTTTCGCAAGTTTAGGTAGAGATAGATAGATATAATAGATTAGAAAGAAAGTAGATAGTTAGAGAGATAGACAGGTAGATAGAGAGATAGAGAAGAGAGAGATAGATAGATAGATAGATAGATAGATAGATAGATAGATAGAGAAATAGATAGACAGATAGATAGATAGATAGAACGCGAGAGGATAGATAGATAGATAATAAGCATAAATAGAATAGATAGATAGATAGATAG